ACAACAAGTTGGAAACAGCGACTGCAAAACAGGGCGGGCATCGACATCACAGAAGCTTGAACAGTCGGGCGGAAAATTCCACACTACTTGCGAAATCGCCCAACGTACGGGGGATCCGAAGTCAGGGGAGGGGCCCATAACGGCTCCTAGGCGGCCCTGAGAGCGCCCCAACAAGGCTCCAAGAGGGCTCCAAGGGATGACTTGTCATGCCCCAGGGTGTGATGCTGATCGGCGCTGGTTGTTGGGGCGTCATAAAGAGCATCCGCCTCCATTGCCTCAAAGCACGAAGCGAATTGTCCTCAGCTGGGGGGGATCTTCAGCCGCGGCAGCCGATTAGCAGACGTCCACGCGCGCGCAACTCTTTAGCCCCCGCGAGCGTTCCTTCAGCCCCCATGGGCGCTGAATCCTAGGCGCCACACGAACGCTGGTGTCGGGTCGGACGACAGGGGTGGTTAGCAAAGGGAGGGCTGGCGGGTCAACTCACGTAGGTGGAACTGTGCACGGCGGGCGGTGGGAGGAGGAGGAGCGCGAGGGGGGCGGGAGAAGAAGGAGGAGGAGGAGGAGGGCCTCCGCGCGCTGGAGGCGCCAATGCATCCATCGAGGAAAGCGCCTGGCTGCGGAGACGATGCCGGCCGCATGCAGGAGACTTCGCAACCCTCCCTTCCCAATCCCCCGTTCGTCCGACCCGAAGATGGGGCAGGTGCCGAACACCACGGTTACAGGAGCTCGACCACAAGAAACCTTCCACAATAAACCCAGCCTTGAGACCCCAGTACGTCCATTGATTTTTGGTGTGGGAGAGTCACGCTCTCCATAGCAAAACACTCGAAATCCAAGAAACCCTGGGCACCCTGGAGGCAAGCAGAGTGTTTCTTGGCATGGGTTTCCACTGTATTGCAAAAGCCACAATCGTGATGATGATCTAGCCCTCGCGAGCGCTCCAGGAGATCCAGGCGTTCCATGTTTATTCACACTGGGCGTTTCCGCCCGGCTTCCTCGTGCTCCTCCCCTCCTCCTCCTCCTCCTCCTCCTCCTCCTCCTTCTCCTCCTCCTCCTCCTCCTCCTCCTGCTCCTGCTCCTCCTCCTCCTCCTCCTCCTCCTCCTCCCTCCTCCTCCTCCTGCTCCTCCTCCTCCCCCAGCGGTGAACGGGGGAACGCAATCGGCGGCGAGCGAGGGGTGGAAGTGATAAGTGGTGGGCGTCTCGGCCCAGCCCTTGCGATCGTTCCCTGAGATCCAGGCGTGGCATGTTTGTTCGCACTGGGCGTTTTTTCGCCTGGCTTCGGGCCCTGGGGCCATCACAGGTCGCTCCCGCTCGAAGCATGCCGGAGAGAGATTGGGTCTAGGGCTCCGGCCGTGAGGTTTCACGATGCACGACGGTCGGAAGAAGTATGTAAAAACATTAAGTGAGAAGGCGGATTAAGTAGATTAGGCTCAGGCCCTCCCAGAGAACAACAAAACACACAGATCGATTCTTGAAGTAGGAAGGCGCTTGATGTACATTGGGATCTGGGATTGAAAAATACCTACTTTCAACGACTGGCGCGTAATGAGCTCAGCGCCGAATCTCGGGGCTGCTTTCGCCTCCACGAGCGCGGAGTCCCAGGTCCCGAGCGCGATTCTTCAGCATATGGAGAAACCGGAGGCCTCCTGGATGCGGTCCGAGTAGATGGGGTCGGTGGATCTCGCCGCATCGCCGATGTATCGCCGATGCATCGGCGATGCATCGGCCATGCACTGGCGACGTCGGCGATGCGTCGGCGACGTCGGCGTGGAGAAAATTGGGCCCCAAATCGAGCCGCATCGCTGATACATCGGCGATGCGGTGCGATCCTCTGGCCCCATCTACATCGACCGCATCTGGGAAGCCAAGTGTCCTGAGGGAAACGGGTCCTGGACCCGGAGGGCCTTCCCCCTGTTGGCGCCCCCCTCGAGCTGGGTGATCTTGTTGCGGAGGCCCCGGGTGCTCTTGAGTCGTTTTCTGACAGTCCCGGGGCCCGTGGAGGGCCCCGAGAGCCCGACACCGGCGAGAAACCTCAGGACCCTTTTTTTCCTCGGGACCAGCTTCCCCCATGGCGAGCTTCTGTCGGCGGTGGACAAACCTCTCTGTAGTAAACCCCCCCCTCAGTGAAAACGGCCTGGGGCCGAAACTGGCGGACCTGGGCCCGCACAAGTGACGGCCGCGACGCCCTCTCGCAGACCGAAAACGGCCAATCCCTTCGTCGACGTGTCAGGGTAGGAGGCCCATCGACCTCCGATTCTAGAGCGGGGAAGCGCGCGGCCAGCTCGGCATCCGCGGGGGGCGGCCGCCGCTCGCGGGCGTACGCTCGGCCCGACGGCTGCTGGAGGGCCGTGGGCCTGCCACGGCTCTCCGCCCAAGCGGCGCGGCCCGAGCGAGCTGTTCCTGGTGGGCCTGTTTTCCACCACCACCACCACCACCACCACCACCACCACCACCACCACCACCACCACCACCATAAGTTGGAGGGGGAGGGGTCCTCCTCCTCATCCTCCTCCTCCTCCTCCTCCTCCTCCTCCTCCTCCTCCTCCTCCTCACTCCTCGTGGCGCCGGGGGCCCGAGGGCGCCCAGAGGCCGGCTGCAAGAGATCACACCGTCGGAGAGCTGGGCTCTCCCGCCCCCCACGAGCTCAGCCGAGCCCCCGGGGGGGGGGGCAGGGAGAAGGGGCGGGCCTCCTCGGGAGGCTCGGAAGTCCCGCGGCCTGCTGAACCGGGGGCACGGAGAACAGAGAGCACGGAGACCGCCTCCCCGTTTACAGAATGCGCTCCCGCCGCAAAGCATACAGCCCGCAGAGCGGAGGAGGAGAAGGCGAGAAGGAGCGGGGACGACGGAATCCGAAGTCGAAGCGGATCGGAGCCGGAACCGATCGAAATCGAACCAAGTCTCGGCGGCGGGCGGGGGGGGGTAGTGAGAAGGGGCGGGCCTTCTCAGAAGGCTCGGAAGTCCCCCAACCTCCCGAGAAGTCTTCTGAGCCCTCCCCGAGGACGCAAGCAAAGAAAGCATCTCACAAGGCCGGAGGGCTTCTGAGAAGCCCCGCCGCCTTCTGAGAAGGCCTTCTCCTTCTCACTTCCCCCCCGCGCTCGCCGACGAGAATCGAGCCGGCGGGGCCGAGAGGAGCCTCGCCTGGCTCCTCGCCCTGGCGGTGGCGGCGTCGCCTCTCCCCCCTCCCCCGATGAGGGCGGCCTCTCCGACACCACCGCGGTAAAACAGGGCTGGGATCGGGACAAATCGCTCCAGAGCGTTCCGGAGCGCTCTCAGAGCGTTCCGGAACGCTCTGGAGCGGCCGCGGCGCCCAATACGTCCTCCAAACCCGCCGATTCTCAGAGATTTCGAGTTATCCCGATCCGGCTTTGTCCCGATCTTCGCGTCGTTTTACCGCGGGCGCACGGGCCCCCGAGCGCCGCGGGGTGCCGCGGGCGGCCCGAGAGGGGGGTGCGCAGAGAGGAGCCGCCCCGAGGCGCAGCGCGCGGCGCGCGGCGTGCTGGCGCGGAGCTCCACGCGTGGCCGGCTCCAGGAGGCCGGAGGCCCCAGGATCGGCGAGGAGCGAGGGGGAGGGAGGGGGGGGGGGAGAAGTGGGGGAAGAAAAAGTGGCAGGAGCAGAAAGACTCGGAGGTCCGCGCGGACTTCTCGGATCGGCGCTGGGGCCCCCTGGCGGCGCCTCTGGCGCCGCCCCTGGCGCGCTCCGCGCGCCAGGGAGGGGGGTCCAGCGCCGATCCGAGAAATCCGCGCGGACCTCTGAATTTTTATGTTTATGCCACTTTTTGTTCCCCTATGAAGGGAAGGAGACGCCCTCCTCAGACGGCGGCAGGGCCTCCCAAAAAGCCTCGCGCCCTCTGAGAGGCTGTCTGCGTCCTCGGGGGAGGCTCAGAAGACTGCTCAGACGGCTGGGGAACTTCCAAGTCTTCTGAAAAGGCCTCCCCAGGCTCGCCGCAGAAAAAAAACGTTTCCATCTCTTGGAAGCGTATCTTCAACTTCCGCCACCTTTCGCCGCCCCTCCGCCGGCTTCCGCCGGCAGAGGCGGCCTCGTTCTACTTCCGCCGAGGAAGAGAAGACAACACCTTCGATCCTCGAAGGCAAGACCCTTTCTGGAACGCCTCACGCAGACTGAAGGCGCAGATCTGGCGTGGCGCGTCTGCCCGAAGCGTGGACCAACACGTGCCGGTCCACCACGCAGCGTATTGACACGAACGCTTTGAACACGGTGCGTGCTGCGTTTCAACACGAGCGCACCAGGGCAGCCAAGATGCGAAGCGATGCCACCACCACCACACCGCCACCTCCAGCGATGGGGCTCGCGGTGCCTCCCCGCGAGACTCCCGAGACGGAGGCCTCACCGACGTGGTCAAAATGTCGAGGCCCGAGGGTCGCGAGCGAGGGACCGAGGGATCGCCGAATCGAGGATCAAAGCTCGAGGATCCACGTCCGACAACCGACGGCACGAGGGGCCGGCGACGGTGTCGCCACCTTTCCTCGCTCCCTGGGCGAGGCGGCACGCGCCGCAGCAGCACCGCCAGCGCCGACGCCAGCAGCGACGCCGACACCGGCACTGCACCGACGCTGAACACCGACGCCGACACCAGCTGAGCATCGACGCTGAGCATCGACGCTGAGCACCGACACCAGCGCACCGACGCCAGTGCACCGACACCAGCACACCAGCGGCAGCGGCGGCCATTGGCAGCGGGGGGCGCCAAGGGCGGCTGCGGGTCCGGTACGAGGGCCCCGTAGGGGTCCGGATCGAGGGGGCCCGCCAACTCTTGCCGATACGAGCGAGGGGGGAGAGGGGGAGGCTCTTTTTCCCACCATGTGTACGTCGAGCCTGCCTTGTGCACAGGCGCCTGGGAAGCATACATGGCCACCACCCCTTCGAGCCTCTGTGTTGTCTCTACGTCGTTCTGCTCATGGTCTCCACTCGGGCGGTTTCTTGTCATCGGCGTCGCACTGCTGCTGGTCGGTGGGGAGCTTGGCGTGCTGATACCTGGTATCACTTGTACTTGTGCGCAACGGACGAAAAATCGACGAGCCATTTTTCAGGTCGGCTCTTGTCAGCAGGTGGAGAGTGGACCGTCGATCCTGTGAGATGAGAGATGTCTGTAATGCCGATCTTCTCCCCGTGGCAAATCAAATCGCCCCTCACCAAGAAAGCGTCGAAAGGCGCCGAAGCCCACACAACAGAATAGCCTCTGAGCTCCGCGGCGAGGGCTATGGCAGACAAGCTGGCACCGCAAAAATTCTCATATGTGCCAGGTCCAAGCTCAGAGGGAAGGCACCGAAATGGCCCAATGGCAGTGTCGGCCTTGCCTTGAGCACGCCGAGCGCCGACGCAGTCTACGGTGCTGAAATTTCCTACGGGCCAATTTGCGTTGTACTCGATGCTCACAATGCGGGGCCTGAACTTCTCAGTGAGGCCGAGAAACACCCACAAGTCGCAGCCATCGATGTCGATACTGACGTAATCCGGCTCAGTGGGCACCCCGTGAAGCTCGAACAAGCTGGCCACGTTCTCCATTGTCACCTCGTGCTTGTAAAGTCCGATGCCCGGGTTCTCAAAGGTGTTGTCGAGCATGATGCCCTGCCACCCCGCCTCGTGGAGGATCTTTGTGTTCGGGCCGGAGCTGTCTGCGCCCCAGTCGGGCTGGTTGAAGCCGATCTCCACAAAGTACCTGGACCGCGCGCCCAGCTGGGCCACGAGGAAGCTGACGACGGCGTCCTGGTACACCTGCGAGCGAGCAACGACATATGCACATGTACGCCCTCCGCGATCCTGAATGCACGAACGTCCTCGCTCAAACGCCCTCCAGGGGAAGCTAACCGCGTACGTGTACATATGTTGCTGGCCTTTGAACCTGCGAGTGGCGCCGCCAGCTCGCGATGCTCGGCCAGACGGGCAGCAGCGACCTGGCAGCGACGCAGCGCGCCGCGCAGCTGGTCGCGCGTGGGGCCCGCGCTCCGACCCTGGCACATCCACCGATGTGGTTTGTCCACGCATCGCCCTCGCATGGCGATTTTGGGTGACACATCATCGTGACGCAAGTTTCTCTCAACCTGCCTTCGCCATTAGCGCAACAGCGCGGAGTAGCTCGGAATAGAAATGCTCCATCTACTCCGCGCGTGGGCGGCTCCCGCTCGATAACTCATGGGGTCTGGCGAGGCGTAGTTTCCGATCCAGTTTAGTCATCATGTCATGTGAGGGATCTTGAGAGGGGTCGGAGATATCATCATCATCATCATCATCATCATCATCATCATCATCATCATCATCATCATCATCATCAGCATCATCATCATCATCAGCATCATCATCATCAGCATCATCATCATCCTCATCCTCCTCCTCATCCTCATCATCATCATCAGCAGCATCATCATCAGCATCACCATCATCATCAGCATCATCATCATCATCATCATCATCATCATCATCATCATCATCATCATCATCATCATCATCATCACCATCATGGCAAAGTGAAGCACCTTCTGTCGCGGCCGCGTAGTGGCCACTGTTCGACGCTATTCGAACGCTATTCGGGGGGCTGCTGGGCGCTGCTCGGCGCCATCGGGCGCCAGTCGCCGACACGCAGCAGATCCAAGACGAGCGGGACCTTCCACGATTTACGTCTACTAGTTTGCCCTGCTACAGTCGAGGCGTTGACCCAAGGAACCCTAAAGAAGGAACGAGGGGCCTTTTTCTCATAAGTTAAACTTCGACTTCCCATCGAAAACGTACGGAAAACCTTAGGCAAGGTGTGGAACAACTAAGGAACACTGAGCCCCTCCCCAACGCAAAGGGTTCCTTCTTCAGCGCCCCGACTGTCTACTGATCCTGGGGCCCGAAAAGGGCCCCCGAAGTCGTGGAACGACCGCCGGCTGAAAAACAGGCATCGTCAGAGATCTGGCTTTCCGGGCCACATAACTCGGCCCTCCGGCAGCCGTTCGGGGCGACCCGGGCACCCCGGCAGCGCCCTCGACGGGGCGCAGCCGCCGAGAAGCGCCCCGCGAGGCTGGACAACGTCTGGGGACCGACGCAAACATCCGAAAACCGCCGGCTGAAAAAATCACATCGTCGGAGCTCTGGGGATCGGCGGCGAGCCCAGGGGGGGAAGGCGAGAGGCAGACCTTCTCAGAAGGCGGCGGGGGTTCTCAGAAGCCCCCCGGCCTGCACACCACCCCACCTCCGGCCCCACGGGGCTTAGCGTCTACCGGGAGATATGGCGCGGGTTTGGGCGTGGTGTACGCTGCGGGCCCCGATGGGCCGTAGCGCAACATGGAGGGCCGCAGGTGGCGTGGTGTCGCTGGCTTGCTCGGTCGAGCTTAGGAAGCTTCTCAGAAGGCCGTAGGCCTTCACAGCCTTCTACTTCCGAGGAGGCCTGCCTCCTCTGCCTTCCCCCCTGGGCTCGCCGCCGAGGGGAGCCTCTGCGTCGTGCAGCACGGGCCGCCCACTTCGGGCGCGCCGCCCGCGGCGCAGCCGACCCTGCACGGAGGCCACAGGCGAACCCTGCCCCGCCCCCCCCACGATTTCTCTAAGGGGGGAGGCGGGGTTCACTTCGCTCGGGTCCTCCCGAGCGAAGTGAACACCGACGAGTGGGAGTCCTACGCCGAGCTGTCTCAACTGGGGCAACGACCCCGCGTCCTCCTCCTCCTCCTCCTCCTCCTCCTCCTCCTCCTTTTCCTCCTCCTCCCCCCTTGAAAATCGGGGGGTGGCGGGGCAGGGTTTGAATGTGGCCTCCTGCCTGCAGCACGTCTCGGCGCCCTCGCCGCTCAGCCAGCACACCACGGTGTCCCCGCCGAAGTTGAAGGCGCGCAGCAGCGCGCCCCTCGCGGTCCTCTCACGAGCGGCCATCGTTTCCATATCCGCGCCCTCACCTCCTCCTCCTCCTCCTCCTCCTCCTCCTCCTCCTCCCTCCTCCTCCTCCTCCTCCTCTCCTCCTCCTCTCTCCTCCTCCTCTCCTCTTCCTCCTTTCTCCTCCTCCTCCTCCTCCTCCTCCTCCTCCTCTCCTCCTCCTCCTCCTCCTCCTCCGCTTCCTCCTCCTCTTCCTCCTCTTCCTCTTCCTCATCCTGCTCCTCCTGCTCCTCCTCCTCCTCCCTCCTCCTCTCCTCCTCTCCTCCTCTCCTCCTCCTCCTCCCTCCTCCTCTCTCCTCCTCCTCCCGAGTGGGAGTCCTACGCCAAGCTGTCTCAACTGGGGCAACGACCCCGCGTCCTCCTCCTCTCCTCCTCCTCCTCCTCCTCCTCCTCCTCCCTCCTCCTCCTCCTCCTCCTCCTCCTCCTCCTCCTCCTCCTCCTCCTCCTCCTCCTCCTCCTCCTCCTCCTCTCTCGCTTCCTCCGCTTCCTCCGCTTCTCCGCTTCCTCCTCCTCCTTCCTCCTCCTCCTCCTCCTCCTCCTCCTCCTCCTCCTCTCCTCCCCCTCCCCTCCCCCCCCCCTCCTCCCCCCTCCTCCTCCTTCTCCTCCTCCTCCTGCTCCCCCTCCCCCTCCCCCCTCCCCTCCTCCTCCTCCTCCTCTCCTCCTCCTCCTCCTCCTCCTCCTCCTCCTCCTCCTCCTCCTCCTCGCGTTTGGAACGCCAGGCCCCACGACCCCGTCCGCCTTCGTGAAGCGGCCGAGGAAGCTGCCAGGGCGGCCCGCGACGAACCGCTGCCCCCCATCTCTGGTGAAGAGGTGCGGGCTGCGGCCAGACGCATGAGGGCGAAGACGGGGATGGGGGCCGACCGCCTCACACCGCTGGACGTGGAGCGCTTGCCAGACCAGGCCCTGGAGGAGCTTGGGGCGCCCATGAGTTACGTCGAGGCCGCGCTCACTTGGCCGCACCAGACGCAGTTGACCATCGGGAAGCTGCTTCCCAAAAAGGCCGATGGTGATCGTATCATCGGCCTCACCTCACTCTTGGGAAGGCTTTGGCCCATGATTCGGCAAAGGTATGGTCGAGAGTGGGCAAGCGTGGCCGAGGAGGGATGGGATGCAGCCGTCCTCGGCAACGCGTCGCTCCAGGAGGCTTTCGTCCGCACATTGGGCGATGAGGTCGCCGCCGCAATGAAGATCTCATCAGCACATGGCATGCTGGATATTCGAGGGTTCTACGATGCGATACAGTGGGATCTACTGCTATCCGCCGCCATCCGCCTCGGTTTCCCTCCTGCAGTATTATACCTGGAGATGGCTCAGTGTGCTGCTCCTCGTATCTTCGAGCAGTTTGGTGCGGTGTGCGAGCATTTTTCGGTGCAGCACTCCATCATCCAGGGGTTGAGGAGTGGCACACGGTTCGCCAAGTGCATGACGCATTTTATCCTAGCCAAGATCTCCAGCACACACGTTAACCTCAGCCACAGGATTTGGGTGGATGCTATGTCACAACGGATGGCTGGACCCAGCAAGGTGCTGCAGTCCAAGGTCACGGCTTGCCTAGCTAACACATGTGACGAGCTCGCCAGGTGGAAGTTGGATGCGTCACCTAAGTCAGTCATTGTATGTTCAATTCACGGCGACGCTGTGGAAATTTCTCGGAGGTTAAAGGCCCGTGGGTTTCAGGTTCGTGCTGTCCATCAGGCCCCTTTCCCGGGAGTCGACCAAGGAGGTGGCCGAAGGCATGCCAGATCCACCCGTCTGAAGAAGATTGCCAAACATACGAAACTTCACCAGAAGATTGTACGGTATGCACGGGCGTCCCGAGTCTTCAGGGTCACACGTCGATTGGAACGGACCAGCGCCGCTGCAGCAGGGACGTATGGGCATCAAGTATAGGGGACCTTTGGCACACAGCTGGAATACCTACGGCGCAGCTTGGCAGCGGTTGTTGGTAATGGCAGTCGAGGGGTATGCAAGACATCGTTGCTGGCTATCAAGGAACCTTCGCATGACCCTGGCATCAAGTATCCTCACGAATGCCTCGAGTTCTGGCTCAAACAGTGGTTCGGCCAGCCGTCCATCCGCAGCGGCGTGCACAGAGCGTGGAGCAGTGTCGTGGCCAAGATGAGGAGGGTGCCAGCATCGCAAAGATCGAGAAGCATCCGTGGGCCTATGTCTGCAGTTATGTGTTACTTGCTCGAGAGGCAGTGGGACCCTGCTAGCCCCACACTCTGGATCATGCCCGACGGTACCGAGTGGCGTTTCCCTGAGGAAGGGTACAGCGACATCATGGTGCTCAACGGCATGCAGCAGTTCTTCGACGATTTCGACCGTGCATCTGAGTTGCTTCTTTGGCGACGGGCCGAGAAGCATTTCTGCGGCAGCGGCCTCAACCAAGGAGCGGACATGACCTCTCTCCGTCAGCTGGTGGGGCAACTGGAGGACTCCACGAACGGGAAGCGCCTTGCGGAGCTGATGGTCACAGTTGCAGCGGGCGCCAGCTGGCCTCGCCAGCGCAGGGCGGAGGCGGCCACCAGGGCGGCCGTGGAGGTGCTGTGCCCACGGTGCCATCAGGCCCCAGAGACAGCCTTCCACAGAATATGTGGGGGTGCGAGTGCAATCGCGACGAGCTGGCCTGCCAGAAGTCAGACTACGTATACCCGAGGGCTGTGGCCCAATGTGAGGCGGAGGAGGCTTTCTGGCTGCGCGGTCTGATGCCTGCCGCCAGTGTCCAGGTGCCGCCCCTGAGGAGGAGGAGGAGGAGGAGGAGGAGGAGGAGGAGGAGGAGGAGGAGGAGGAGGAGGAGGAGGAGGTCCGTCGGAAGCGCGCTGGTGGACCAGCGGCCTCAACGACGGCGTCTTTGAGGGGCGTCTCGGCCCTGGGCCGCTCGACCGTCCCGTGCTTTGCCTTCGGGGACGCCGGCGGCGGGCCCGACTCGGCGTCCCCGCGCCTTCGCAGAGTCGGGCTGGGCCTTTGCCACGTTCTCGGACGAGTGCCGTATGGAGGTACAATGCACTGTTTCTAGCAGCCTCCCTGAGTCGCAGCAGACTGTCCCCAGGGGTGAGCTTCTCATGTTTCTCACGGCCCTTCGGTGGGCCAACGATTACCTTATTTACGTCACTGGCAACAAAGCTGGTTTTGACGGGTGGCATAGCCAGCGTTTCGCCCACCCGTCGGGCGAGAACGGTGATCCGTGGGCTGAGGTCGGCCTCGTCATGTCGTGCCGATCTCTGGGCCATGTCACGGTGCTCTTCACTCACAACCACCTCGAAGCCGTTGATGTTGCGGCGGGCCGAGGCTTAGGCTGGCTCGTCAGAGGGAACAGTGTAGCAGACAGGCTGGCTAACTGGGGTGCTGAACAGTGCAGGCTGCCGCCAGCTGTTCGTACCCCCATTTTGTCTTTGGAGGAGGACCTCTTCTGGGTCCGCGCACGCATCATACGAGCTTCGCTCGATGCCCTCCTGGCCGAACGAAAACAAGCGAGCGAGTCCCCTGTGCACGTGTGTAGTAGTGGTAGGCGCCGACGTGGGAGAGTAGGTCCGCCCCCCCCCCCATAGTCGTGCCGCCGCCGCCATCAGCTACCACTGTCTCTTTTTTCGAGACTGGCCACGCCCTGGATGAATTCGGGGCGCCGTTGCCGCCGCTGTCGAGGCTCGGCCGCTATCTCTCAGGTCCGTGAGTGGCGCCAGACAGGATGTTTTCGGCTGATTTCTCTCAGTGGCTCCCTCCGTGGGCTTCCTCAGGGGGCGAGGCTTCACATCGCTGGGGGGTGGGCCCACCCCTCCCACAAAACGCGTTTGCACCAGGACCTCGATGTGTGGTTCTGCGCGTCGTGTGGTATGGATGGGGATAAGCAATTGCTCGGTCTCGGTCGTGAATGCCCCAATGTGGTGTCCCCTACGCGGGCCGAGTATCTGAAGCGTTTAGAGATGAATCTTTTCCCCAAAGCTTACAGCAAGCGGGAATTGGAGCTTAAGGCCCACAAGGGGCTTTGAGGTAGATATCTGGACTTCGTCCTGGCACTCCTGACTCCTGACTCCTCCTTCCCCTCCCCCTCCCCCTCCTCCTCCTCCTCCTCCTCCTCCTCCTCCTCTCCTCCTCCTCCTCTTTTCTCCCTCTTTTCCTCCTCCTCTTTTCCTCCTCCTCCTCCTCCTCCTCCTCCTCCTCCCCCTCCTCCTCCTCCCTCCTCCCCATGGGGCGCAATCCCAGAGATACGCGGTCGCACGGGTAATTACGTTCCGCACAAGGCATCCGCGAAAGAGCGCCCCAGAGCGGATGCAGATCATGTTTTTTGGCCCATGGCCCCTGGCGGTCCTCGCGGCGCCTTCGTCGCGCGCCTCCGGCAGCATCGACCCCGCGAAGGCGGCCAGCATGGCATCCCCGAACGCCGCGCTCCGGCACGCCTGCGGGAGCAAAACGCGGCATGAGCATTTACTTTCGGAGGTCCGCGCGGAGTTCTTGGATCTGCGCTGGACCCCCCCGACTTCGGATCCGCCGCACTCTGGGCGATCTCGCAAGTTGGGCGGAACTTCCCGCCCAAATGTTCAAGCTCCTTTTATGTCGGTGTCCGCCCTGCTTTGTCGTCGCCATTCCGTCGCACTTTTTCTGAAATACCCGCCCTACTTTCGGAGGCTGACATGTCCGCATACTTGTTCGCAATGTTTGGGGCAGCTTCAGACAAGAAGATCAACGAAAGAACGGCGCACCCGAAGTCAGGGCTCCCGGGCGGTGCCTCTGGCATCGCCCCTGGCGCGCTGCGCGCGCCAGGGAGGGGGGTACAGCGCCGATCCATGAGATCAGCGCGGACCTCCACAAGAGCATGCCTATGCCGTCCATTCTTCTTCCGACGCCTCCTGCTGGCGCGCCCAGCACGACGCCGCCCGGCAGTCGCCGAGCCCGCCGCCGCGCTTCCCAGACCCCCGACGGCATAACTTCTTCGCAGCGTCGATCCCCATAAGATCTCGGCCCACTCCCCGGGAGGGCTTCTCAGCCTGAGCTGCCTCTTGACGGTCCCAGGGCCCCGCGAGGCCGAACACAGGAAAGCTCCTTCTGGAGGCAGGAAAACGGGGACCATGACCGAGACTGAATGCGGGAACGCCGTGTCGATCCCGGTCACCGTCCGTCCTGGTCAGCGCCAGTGCGTGGACCATCCCCGCTAGTCGGCGACGGCCGACCTGGACCACGACCGAGCTCGGCACCGCCAAGATCCCGCGACACCTTGGGCATGGCCCCCGCACTTCTTCCCTCGACCTCGCCGTGAATCTTGCCACGACGCGAGTAGAAGATGGAAACAAACGCCATAAACATACACTTCTGGCGCTCCGCGCGGATTTCGTGGATCTGCGCTGGCCCCCCTTCCCTGGCGCGCGGAGCGCGCCGGGAGCAGCGCCAGGAGGCGCCGCCGGGGGGCCCAGCGCGGATCCAAGAAATCCGCGCGGAGCACCAACAGTTTATGCTTGTGGCGTTGTCTCTTCTTCGAGCGAGGGGTCTGGGAACCCATCTTTGTCTGCGTCACGTTTCGAGCCGGATCGATAATTATGTGAGGGTCTCGGGACCCGAAATGGACCGAGGAACAACGCGCGTGGTGAAAAGAATGCAACGCCAGGATGTCAGGGGACCTTGCCGTGACTCTTGACTACCTACCAGACCACCCCAACCCAACCCGAAGGCCCGAATCTCGGGTTGGGAGGGGCACGGGCTTCATGTGTGTGTGCTTGTTCCATGTGCCCCGAGAACCCCCCCCCCACGCTGGAGATGGAGGGCAAACTGAAGCCTTCGGGTTGGGCCCGCCGGCGGCGCCAGGATGACCTCTTGCCACGGCGCGAGGGGTCTGGGCTCTGGCCCGCCGCGGCGCCCGCCGAGCCGTTGAGGAAGCCGAGCCACTCCGCCAGGCCGCCGGGCAGCTCCCGCAGCAGCAGCCGCCCGAGCGGCGCCACCCACGAAGCCTCGCCGCCCGCGGCGGCCTCCGGCGCGGCGAGGTGGGTGTCCAAGGCCCAGGCATCCGACGACGTGGTTCCTCCTCCTCCTCCTCCTCCTCCTCCTCCTCCTTCCCTCCACCTATACATTCCTCCTCCTCCTCCTCCTCCTCCTCCTCCTCCTCCTCCTCCTCCTCCTCCTCCTCCTCCTCCTCCTCCTCCCTCTCTTCCTGTTCACTGCTCCTCCTCCTCCTCCTCCTCGCCGCGCATGTGTACACCCCCGCGTGGAGTTGAGCACATCGCAGGCTAAGGGATTCGACTTCATCCCAAGCGTCTTCTCGGACAGCAGCCCAGGCCAGGATCTGCGCACCTTATACGAAGAGAAGCTCCAAGCAGACGCCCAGGGTGCAGTCCATATTCAGTTTTTGCTTGACCGAAAGCTGGCGTCTACGAAAGTTAGCATCCGACGACATGAACGTGGAGAGCCGCACATGTGTACACCCCTGTTTGGAGTTAAGAAACTGTACACACGCTAAGAGCACGGGCTTCGTTCCAAGCGTTTTCTCTGACAGCAGCCAAGGTCCAGATATACGCGGCTTGTACGAACAACCACAAGCTCCAAGACGGCGCCCAGAGCCCAGTCCAGGCTCCTGATTTTCTCAAGCGGCACCTGGAGTCTTCGGTGGCAACTCATGGGGGCCTCTTACACCATCTTGTCGGCTCTTGCGAATCGACGCTGGTCGACGCTTCATCGACGCTAGTCGATGCTAAATGGACGCTAGTCGACGCTACATCGACGCTAAACGACGCTAAACGGCGCTACATCGGCGCTATCTCATCGACTCCCAGACGCTAAACGACGCCAATCGGCGCTAGAGATAGAATTGCGAGGGCACACGAGGCTCCCATATGACTTGCTAAGTAGGGAGTCCATGAACCCTGCTGTTTTTTCCTGTGGTTTCTGATGGGCGTATGCGGCCAAGGAGGGGGAGGAGGAGGGGGAGGAGGGGGAGGAGGGGAGGAGGGGAGAGGGGGAGGAGGAGGAGGAGAGGAGGAGGAGGAGGAGGAGGAGGAGGAGGAGGAGGAGGAGGAGGAGAGGAGGAGGAGGAGGAGAAGGGAGGAGGAGGGAGGAGGGAGGGAGGAAGGAGGAAGGAGGAAGGAAGGAGGGAGGCGGGAGGAGGAGAGGGAGGAGGAGGAGGAGGAGGAGGAGGAGGAGGAGGAGGAGGAGGAGGAGGAGGAAGGTGGAGGGAGGAGGATCGCGCTACCAGGAGGAACGCCAAGCAGGCAACGAGGGGGGCTCCTCGAGCCACGGCGACCCTCGGCCACGAACAGGCTCCCTGTACCTTCATGTTGCGGGGGCCCAGGGACGCGCAACGCAATCGACACAGCTCCCTTGATTCCCGCCACGTCTCCCCATCTGTTTGGGGTTTTCGCCTTCCCCTCCCCACTTCCCAAGTCCTCCCATACCTTCCCGGGCATCGACGATTCCTCATGTCTGTCTGTCTGTCTGTCTGTGTGCGCTTCTGTCCCTCCTGAGTTATATGGGGGCGGCGCGAGCACCCGAGCCCCTCCCGTGCCCAAAGCGGTCATTGTTTCAGCGGCTTGACTGTACAGTAGCCACTAACTCCCACCACCTCGCGGCGTGAAAACTCACGGCGGGAAGATTGTGGCAATGTTCGGCCTCCAGGGGCCCTCACTGGGCCCCGGGACCGCCAGAAAACGACTCAGGATGAACAACTTTTCACGGGGAAGTGGTCGAGACCTCCGGGGATCGAAGTTGTAGAAGGAACACGGCGTCGAGGACTCCAGGGATCGAAGTTGTATGTCGCCAGTATGCGCACAACTTCGACATCCGACGGCACGGCTTTGTTGGGCCGCGTGTTATGCCATATAATCGAGAACTGTTGCTCAGCGCGTGGCGGCGGCGGCCCCGGCGGCACGCCATGCCGTGCGAGCGGATAGCGCGTCGCTCCGCGGGGTGGGAGGCCGGGAAAGGCTTGGGGTGTTGATGCGTGGGGGCCATAAGGTCCTCGTCCATCCCCTTCTCCTTCCTCCTTCTCCTCCTTCTCCTCCCCTCCTCCCTTGGTGGGCTTGTTTTCCACCGCCACCGCCATAAGTAGGAGGGGGAGGGGGTCCTCCTCCTCCTCCTCCTCCTCCTCCTCCTTCTCCTCTTCGTCCTCCTCCTCCTCATCCTCCACCTCCTTCCCCCCTCCAATTTATGGTGGTGGTGGTGGTGGAAAGCAGGTTCACCCTCCCTCCTCCTCCCTTCAGGCTCCGACCGACAGCGGCCCTTCCCCCCCTCTCGGGCAGGTCCCGGTTGGGATCCGAGCGTGGCCCCGTGGCGTGGCCGCAGCGGACGCGCAGCACGGCAGCCAACAGCGACATCCCTCTGGGAGGACCAGGGGGAGGAGGAGGAGGAGGAGGAGGAGGAGGAGGAGGAGGAGGAGGAGGAGGAGGAGGAGGAGGAGGAGGAGGAGGAGGAGGAGGAGGAGGAGGAGGAGGAGGAGGAGGAGGAGGAGGAGGAGGAGTGGTTGGCCCCTCGCGTCCGAACTTGGTGGGCCAGAAACTGGCGGCGCGACAGGCTGAGCCAAAGTTCTGGACCGTGCGCGCTAGAAGGCACGCGGGGCTTCGCCCGCGGCTCGAGCATCATCGCGAAAACCTGCGGCCGGAGCCCCGATCCCTATTCTTTCTGCGGCATGTTTCGAGCCGCATGGACCTGTGATGGCCCCAGGTTCCGAGGTTGGGCGAAAATGCCTGGTGTGACAAAAAGATACAAAGCCCAGATCTCACGGCTGGCGTGTGTGCACTAAACCTGAAATCTGGGCGTTGCAATCTTTTCCCACTGGGCGTTTTCGTACGGTGTCGGGCCCCAAGACCATCACAGATCGATCCAGTTCGGAAACGTGCAGAGAGAACGGGTCTACAGCCGGACCAAGGACAGAAGCATATGCTTCAAGAGCATAAGGCCCTCCGCTACTGTTTTCGCAACGGCGGATCTCCGGGAATGCCTGCGGGCCTCCGCCCGAAACGTAGTGGACATGTTGTCTTGGCGATCTCACGCTCGTCAACCTGTCCCGAGGAATGTCAACTGTACGGTGAGGGCAACGGACAAGGACCCGTTGGATAAGGAATCCGGGGGAAGACGGTGAACTCCAATCGCGGATTGACCATGAATAACACCGCCGCCCTCCTCAGATAAGGAGCCCTCCTACACCCCCACCGTACTGTGCGCGGTAGCGTTTGCTGACATAGTGTCATGGTCATGAACTTTCCCTCGGCTTTTCTAATGCGCAGCCCCTGGAGGTCCCGACCCCTTCCCCTTGGCCCAGGGCCCGATGACGGGCCCCAGAGGCAGAGATCGAGAAAACACGCTGGAATTGAAAAAGCACATCGTCGGAGATCTGGGGATGCTGCTCGGCTGGCTGGACACCGGATTCAGCAGCCCAAGCGTCAAGTGGAGGAGCAGAACCGTTTCTGCAGCCAGCGCGAGCACATGCATCGCGGCGTTGCCCGACCAAAGGGCTCCAGAGCAACAGCACATGCGACTTCCTTGAGCGACAGGCTGCGGACGGATGAGCGGGGGACGAACGGGCTCTTCTGGCCACGAGCGGGCGACACGACCCGGATCCGAGAAGCGGCCCGAGAAAACCAGAGCGCCTCGTGAGTCCGAAGTTCGGGTCGGACGAGGGGGGGGGGGCGGAACAGCGAATGGGGGGTTAGAGAATCAACTCA